CCTGAGCTCTCAGTCCCCAAAAGGTTGGAAGCCTGAGCTCCATGAAATCTTAGCAGGTGATTGTGCTGAGACTCAAGGCAAAACAAACCACGATTCCAGGCTTCTGCACAGTCAGGAAGGCATGACTACAGCTACTTCCGTGTCCCAACGCAAGCACAAGGTGGTGAAAGATCTGCCAGGTAACTCCGCTGGTGCCATTGGCCTGGGCTGCATGACAAGCAGAAAGTCACAACAGCCCCCGACGAGACCCGCTCTCTTCTCACACATTTATCTATGCTCGAACTGTCCTTTTGCAAGCTGAGACAGCTGCTTTCCTTCTCCAGTATGCCTTGCAGAGTCCGCGCTGACACACACATGCTTTCTTTGCATTCAGGGCAACAACTTTGCCAGCTGAGCATATAAGGTAAAGGTCCTGCTGAGAGCATGTCTACCGTGAGCTCTCGTGCTGAGCCAAGAACGAGCGGTCACCATCAGCAGACGCCTGCATCAGCATGCAATGAATGTGCAGTGAGGTTCTTCTGGAGGCCAACGAACGGCTGAAGCAAAGATGCAGTCTGACATCTTCTTGTCTTTGCATGATATTCCTACATGATTCCGAAGCTGCCGCTCTGTGAAGGCTGCTGCGCTCCATGGCACATCTGACTCTGTCACACTCTGTAGCGATATCTAGGCGACAGCTGCTGCCAGGGTCGAAATCTACAGCCACCTCGGTCCCGGGTCGAAATGCTCCGCCGAAGCCCATGCCCTGGCAGGACAAAAGCAGCACGTCCACAAGTGCAAATCTTGAAAAACCCACCGCAAAGAGACTGAAAGCTGGACGAAGCTGACCATTTTGCAAAGTACCACCACCCACAAGTCTCGACAGCACCGTGCCTTGAGGACATTCATGAGCTTACAAAGTAAGACCATGCTGCTTGCTGGAAACATTCAACGCGTCAGCGAGGCGATGTCGCTGGCAGGTCCTGAGCCTCTGGCAACAATCTTTCGGCCAATCGGCCATCAGCCGCTCTTGAAACACAGAGATGAGATTGACTCAGAAGTGGTTGCATGCATTTCTTCGCGTGAACCATGCACGAGCCAAATGACTAATACATTGCCTTTTGCTGTTTCGGTCAAACCTGTCCCTTTACTTCAGCAGGCCTCCAGGTGTTGGCAGTGGTGGTGGCAAAACCGCCGGCCTGGCCCGTGATAGCCATTCTCGTCAGAAGTTGCCTACAACAAACCACTCTTCTTTTTGAAAAACAGGAACACCGACAAGAGCTTACGCGAAAGAAGCGCATGAAAGCAAAAGCATGTCTGTACGACCCCAGCGACCCGTCACAAAGATCTATGCCAGGCCTTGATGAGAAAAACACAATCATCAAAGGCAAGTGTGTCAAAATCAGCGCAAGGCTCAGAATGAACCATCTTATTGCAGAGAACCGTGATCTTGAATCAGAATGCTGTAAAATAACGAAGTAGCAACGGAGTGACCTCCTATGGTACATGGCAGGTGCTCAAACCAGGGCCCCGACAAAGCCAAACCGCTGTCAGTAGGGAACCGATGCCTCTGACAAAGATTCAGCCCTGGCCACGTGATTCCTTGTGTTCTGCTGCAATGCCTCAAAAAATGCTAGATTTCCTCTAAGCCTGCAGCATCCCCAGGAAGTGCTGGTTGTTCAGGGCTGACCTCAAGGCAGCCGGTTGATTATGCTCAAAACCACGCTTGTCATGTCATACAAGCAGGCAAACATACAACATCGTCCAGACCGAAGAAGAGCCAGGTGCCGCACATCGCACAAGGCGACGGTGTTGAAATTGGTGCACCTGGGCCGCTGATGCTGGCCCCAGACTGGGAGATCAACTTTGCTGACGGACGGGACTCAGCAGGCAGCCAGCTGATCCGCTGAAGCTGCCGTAATGGTAGTGCGTCGGCCTGCAGTTTGGATGGGATCTACAGAAGTAGTCTCAAATAGTAGTTTCCATTTTATTTTCCATTATCCCAATATTACCCCAGTCTACTATAGTAGTTTCCAAGCATGTCAATCAAGGCCAAGTCTACATGTGCAGGTGCCCTGGACAGTCTGAGCAGGGGACTCTGGCGTATTTTGGACACTCCGGTGTGCTGTGGCTGGATTCGGGGAATCCAAAAACTCCTTTGCACGAATTCTGCAAATTCACGAAGAAGCATATGTTCATGCCAAAGGTACTAGATGAGGGTCCTTCTCCCCTGTCAACCTTGCTGTTGCTAGCTGGCGCTCCGGAGATGGAGTAGAGTCCTGTAAGTTGTGTGCTTGTTCACAACATTGCCTCTTGCATGAACATCAATGCTCCAAGCGAATCAGGAACAGCATCTGTTCTGCTTTCTTGCTTGATGGTTTGACTGAGTCCCTGCATACTTCGACTTGCTAACTCCTCAGACAAGCCCTGGCCTCCATGGGACCTGGCGTGGCAACGGTACCTGTGACCCACTAAACGTGCAACTCAAGTCGGTGACATACTTCATGGCTCTGCAGACTGGCCACACTGTTAGCTGTGGACATGCAAAGCTAAGGTCTGCACCGACGGGTGTGGGGGCCTTGGTCGTTATATGGCAGGCTGCGGCTCCCAACATCCCAAGAAAATCCGAAAGACTGCTGCTCCCTGTTGAATTTCAAAACATCTAAGGGACTGTGACAGCGGATCCAAATCTGGGAATTGCACTCGCTCATCCCAGCCTAGCCATCAGCAAAGAACACAGCACTCGGATCCAAAGAGTGCACATCCGGCCAAGCCACTAAGAGACTTTGGCCGCGGCTGTGAGGCTTTGGAAGCCTGGCAGGATGCTTTCCTTCCGAAACCCTACGTGAATCCTCTTGCTAGAACGCCTAAGAGCTATGATTTGGACATGGGGGGGCGACGCTGACCAGTGCTTCATTGCTAGCCCTCTAATCTGATCTCTCAGCAGCTCTGCTCATGCTCGTGCTGGCCAAACAGAGCAGGCGAAGAGCCTCGGGACCTCAGCAATTGTGACTTCTGCTTGGTCTGCAGCCCGTGTAAACAACAAGCCCAGCGCAAGCAACTTTCAACTCACTGTGTGGCACACTTTTGACAAAAAAGTTTGTAAATCCGCGAGGCGTCGCCGCTCGATGAGGCGGGCCATAAGGTAAAGAATTGAAAACGGCCGGGTCTGCCGTTCTCCGAGCAGAGGAGGCAGAACAAATCGGCAATAATGGCTGGGATTCCTTGGACCGGCCAGCCTGGCTTGTCAACCTCCCACACCTTTTAGCGTTGGGAGAGAAACAAGCCATGTGGAACTTGCCATCAGCCCATCAGCGCAGAGTAGACGTCCAAAAGCGAATGTTTTAAAGACACCACCGGTGCTCTGTGCTGGAGCGATGAATCTTAAGAGCTTCATTGAGGCCTAGTGGCCTTGAGCAAGCATGCGTTGATTCTCTGCCTGGTTGCAGAAATCTTATATACAAGGGCAAGAAAATCCTTTGGCAAGCATTTGCGAATGCGTCGCACTCGCACTTGGCTTTCACAGTGGCTCTCGCCAAAGGGCTCCCTGCCCCATCTCGGGGCATGACGTTCATTACCTTACAGCAAAGCAATTACCCTGGACCCTTGTTTGCCCGATCATCAAATCTCACGTTCAATCACTCGCAACACAATTACATCAGATTTGTTCGTGAGATGAAGCTGCTTCTGCCAAGGCTGACTCTCGCGACTGCAAAGAAGTGGCCTGGCAGCCCACTGCCAGGAACTTGATGGTGGCTCCCCCTGAAGTGAGCACGGGTATGATCGCTGAGACGGGCAGCTGTGCGTCTCTTGCTTTTTCTTGGAAAGTTGGCATGTGCTTTTGAGCATGTGCGAGAATTGTCAAAGGACACTTTAACAATGATGCTTGGAATAGTCATCTGGCAAGTTCGGAAACGCGGAGTAGGAAGCCCAAAATCAAAACATTGGTGTCGGCATGCATTTCAGCCTGCCTTCACCCTTGCACATTTCGCACTCAGGCCCCGAACAAGCAGAAGATTCACAAGCAAAAAAGGAGAAACAGGCATGAGGTTGCAATTCAACGGCAAGATTCCTCAGCCACCCAGCTGGTCTTGAACTTGGGCGCTATCCTGAGTGTAGAGCAGGATATCAAAGATCAGCTAGTACGCAGGTGCAGCGAAGGGACACCACCGAAGCTCTCATGGCCCCACGTCACCTCATCAAATGAGCAACAACGAGCTGATCAGCGGCAGGCCGAAGATGCTACCATGGCTGAAAGACAAAACTCACGACTCTCGAACTCTCGTGATCCATTACTACCCTCACTGGCATGCACTGGCCACAGGTAGGCTCATGGAGCCCGAGTGGCCTTCATTGACAGGAACCCTTCGTCAGAGCTGCAACCGAGTGGCAAGCTGTCCAGATGTTGTCAAAGCAGCGAATGCCCCGCCGGAACCAACAATCTGGAAAGGGGGCAAGGGATGCACATTCTGAGAGCCAAGAGCTGCTTTCTGCTTCAGGCTTGTTGGGAACTCACGCTCTCATCTTCCAAGCCTGCTTCACCATCAGAAGCCGTTCCTGGACATCGCGGCTGTCTCCCCCGGCGTCGTGCTGGCCCCAGGTGACAACGCTTCCATCCTCCTGCACATGTTGGACTGCTGCAGATGGCTGCAAATGCTGGGTAGTGCAAACATTGCGGAGAGGCACACCTCGAATCTGCTAAGTCCATGTGGAGGATTTGGGGCTGTTACTCAAGATTGGGCAGGCTTGAGGCAAAACCGTCAGCCACTGTGCTTGTCCTTGAGAGCAGCGAAAGCGTTTTCGGTTGCAACCACCTGAGCAAGGCATGCTGCTCGTTGGTGCTACATGTCTGTGCCCTTGCTTTTGCAGATAAGCGCTGCAGGCAAGCCAGGCCTCCGTCACATCTATAAGTTGCTCCACCACTGCCCGGGTATCGCCACCACGTTCCTTGTTCCAGACACTTGCAGATTTTTGGACTTTCTGGAATAGTGGCGGATTGTACCAACGGTGCCGACAAGCCATCAGCTTGCTGGAGATGACTTGTCGTGAGCCAGGTACATTTGGTGATTGTGTGCACTCTGTGCGCAGACACGGTCTTTGAAGCAAGCTTCCGGATCTCCCCAACAGACAACACGGCCTGGCACAAGATGCTTGCGCAGCGCACATGCAAAAGGTGGCTAACGGAAAAAAACACTCACGTCCTTCCGGTGTGATTGCTGCGAAAGCATTGCCAGACGGGATCAGCGCCTGCAGCACACGTGTGACGAAGTCCAAGGCAAATGGTGCTGCACATGAGCTCACATCCGTCTCCACACCGGAAGTATTACTTGTGCCAAAGGTGCCCTGCAATTCTGAATCTCGTCGGCAACATCCTCAGGTTCTTGGGAGCATTGCATGAAGCCAGCTAAAAATCCTCGTGGGCCCGTGATGAATGCCAATTCAACTTCTTGCAGCTGCTTGTCAGTTACGGTTCCACCGAGCTCTGGAAGGCCCCAGCAAACAATGCTGCCGTCAGACTTGATGGCAGCAAATGCACCTGCGGTGGCCTGAGGCTGGATGACTTGGTTCAGGCCACAGCATGCAGGTACTGGGTTTGAGAGTGACCACTATGCGGCAAGCTTCCTTCGCGAACACCATTGGCTCAACAAAGAAACAACCTTGAGCTTCACATCCACTGGAAAACTGAATGGAGACCTTTGAACATGCAGAAGGCCTAAATCCTCACAGACCAGACCATCTCGGAACAAGATTGCCATGTTGGTCGAATTGGCCCACAGCAGCTTAACCCCGATTCGACTTTCGAAGCAGTTTCACAGGACCTTCGCTGGAAGTTCAGGCCTTCTTTTCAGCTTTCCAAAGCTGAACGTTTGCTTTACAGCATCTGCCTCCTTTTGGATTTATTGGCAGAAAGCCTGCAAACTTGCGTTGGTCCTTTGTATGCATCCTTTGAGATTGACCCTTCGGTCAAGCCCCGGTGGATATGTTCCAGAAACATGGCATGTCTGGTCAATTTCGTCAATGCTTCAACGCTCTCTTGTTATTTGTGCAGATTTGCTGTGTTTGGATTAAAAACTGTACTGCACCCCTTTCAGCGTCCACAGGCACAATGTCTTACAGGATATATGACAGAAGCCTCCAGAATTCGTTTCGGATCATTTGGTTCGTGTCGCATCTTTTCAAGGGCTGTGGGTTCCAAATGCTATGCTCAACCGTCTTGGGAGTTGCGAAGCGATGTGCTCACAGAATCTGGAAATGTAGGCGAGTTGACTACTCTGCGTTTCACAGGGTTTGAGGCTCGACCGAATGGAAGTGGTGGTGTTTTGCAACGTGTAGAGCACAGTGGGGTGAAAATGCTGTGGTCTGCAGCATTTGGATGGCGAACATGCTGTGCTTCGCAGCGTCCAGAAGGCCGACTGACAGCAGCAGTCCAAAGCTGCTCCACTAGAAAAAAGAGATAGCAGTCTGGCTTTGACCAAAACAAGACCCAGACTCTTCCAAACGCAATCGCACAAAGAGAGTTGCCCTTTCCGAGAATCTGGCTGCCAGGCGAGGCAGCAAATCTTCAAACCATAGAGTTTGTTGCATGTGCTAGTGCAGTGTTTACGAGGCGCACCACATACGTCCCAATCCTGCCAGATCGTGCTGTTTCTAAAGGCACCTCCAATCTTTGCACGCCGATCAAATCTGCTGGGACTTTGTTGGAATCACCGCCTCAGCCAGAAAAAGTGAAAAAAGGACTGCGAAGCTACAGCTGACTGAAGAGCAGCTGCAGAGTGCATGTCTGCAAACGCCAAGACACCCAGCAGGGGATCTCCCCAAACAACAACCTTGCCGCTGCCTGTGGAAAACGTTTTGCACTTACGAATTATGAATTCTACTAACAATTGCACGAACAGCGTGAGCAAGGCATACAGCAAGGCAGTCTTCGCAAGGGCCCAATGCTTGAGTATTGGTCTTTGCAATGAAGATGATGTTTGCGGACACTGCCAAAGCTCAGCATCAATCCTGGCCTGTAACTGCTGCAAATGCCGCGGAAGTTGCAGAGATGCTCTTTACCTGACTGAGTCAGTTGCTGAGCCAAGCTGCCCACACAGACCTCTCTCGAGCAGCAGCTGGAACTAAGTGCTGGGCATCCTTCAGCTGCTCTTGGACACTTTGGCTATCGCCACCATGACCTTGGAGACAGCCGAGAGCCAAGAACACCAAAACTTTCACACGACATGCAGCCAATTTGCAGGCCGAGCCCCAAGTGATTACGGAGCCATCATTTTTGAGTGCAGCAAAAGCTGCACCAGAGGCACCTCAGAGCAATGTGTGGTGCTGTTGAACTGTCTAGAGCACAGTCACCAATTTCAGACACGCCAAAGCACAGATATGGCTAACGTTCTCCAGGTCGTCCTGCACCTGGACCCCATGCACAAGACAGCACGAGCCTGGTATGTGGTACGAAGATGCGGCACCAATGCCAGGTATCCCTCCCCAAGAAGCATGTGACTGTCTCGAACGGAGAAACGGGAACTAACCTATGATCTTGTAGACAACGAGCCCAATCCATGCACAAAACAACCTGTTCTGGGCTCGAAACAAGACAGGCAGCACCATTCGCTGGTTGACAATGCAAAACCTGGCCGTGCCTCAGAACAATCGCCGCCCCAGTCCTGCGTGCTTGCGTAAAAAACGAAGTGGGAACTCGTCATGTAGCCACTGAAGAATTTGCATGCCAGCTCTTCAACACCTTAAGTGTGTCTATATTCATCTCATGGCTCCTTCCACAGTTGCACAGGGCCATTCTCTCCAGAGCCAAAGATTTCTACCATACACACAGTCCTCGTCGCCCCAAGTGATGACTTTGTTGTCAGCACCTCAGCGTGAAGTCTGAGAAGCCAGTCTGGGAATACTAGCTTCGAAGACCCCTAACCCGAACATGCTCGTGCCATCCCAAACTGTCCATGAGCTACGTGCTCAAAAAGAACAGATAACCGGCGGCCCATGGCACAATGAAGACCGCAAAGTTTACAAGGCACGTATCGCGGCGAAAGCTCCGGCAGTGCTAAAGAGTCTCTGGATGTTTTGCAGCTCCTTGCACATGGTCAGTGAATGCAAATCCATTGGCAATGCCTACCAAGATGTCATGTGCAACCGAGTCATAGAACTAGCCCCATGGACAGTCCTCTACGAGTTCACTGCTGTCTCCGCCTAGTTCTTCGCAGCCCCAGGTGACCTCATTTTTACATCACAGGGCTTCAGACCGACCATTTTTGAAGATCCTACGGCAGGCCAGGTGGCCACGGTGCCGTCACGTCGAAGTGCTGCGCAGGCCCTTGCGGTCATCCTAACCTTGGCCACCACAATCTATCACGGGTCTGATCAGACGGCTACTTGATTGAGGCAAGTTTGGTGAGTGAGGTAAGGCTCCTGAATTTTCTCCAGCCCCCCCCCTCATGCTCTCAAACACTCCCTGACTTTTCGAACCACCTCTCAGGACCTGAAATGTCAACATCACTGAGGAACATGTTTTTGCTTTGTTGCTTGTAGCAAAGTAACATCCCAAACATTCACCAGCTCCTCTTGCACATCAGAGCTGTCACCCCCACTGTCTTCATCACCCCAAGCCAGGACAGAGCCATCCGTTTGGATGGCACAAATGGCATGGGCCAATCGGTTGGAATGTAGCTGAAGCTTGGGCTTGGCTGTGAAGGCTCCCACGACATCACCGTCCTGAATGCCAGCATCTTGCAGCGAGCTTGTTCCCCGCAGGAATTCAGCACCGCCTGGCCGAACCAGTATGCCTAAGGAAGTCTGGAGTCCCGATTCTGCTGCTTTCCGGAGATCCTCCACCGAGCTCTGTGGGTCCATATCAATAGAGACACTCTGCCCGCTGAGGACTGCCACGGATAGATGTAGACACATGCAAGGTGCAAGAATGCGGTGAGACTGGCACCTTGGGTAGTAGATTCGCTATCGAGGCGTGAGTAATATGGCTGCGGCGAGCGGTTGATGAGCAAACATGCCTTTGCAAATGCGACCCTCCTCCACTGAATAATCTCAACTCTGAAGAACCACGGTCTTGTGTAAGAATTTGATTTTCTTGCTCCAGTACAACTTGTCCAAGCTTTGCAATTCAGCTATGGTCGGTTGTTTGGCAACACGTTGACTGGAAGAAAGAAGCAAGTGAAAATGACCGATCTCTTTTTGAATAAGCACGCATACTCCTTTGCGAGTCACGCGGCAATCTAGACAGGGTGGCGCTGCGGAGAGTCAACAAGAACGCAGACAAGAGTATCTTTTCTGTCCATCGTTTACCGAAAACATACGTTGAAGGACAGGGCACAGTCTGCTGAAGTGTTAACTCTGAATACCCAGCATGCTCTTTCTGGCTATTGCGGGTCAACCAGCAGCGCGCTCAAGAAGCCCCCTGGCAAAGAAGCTTCTCGATAGCTCAGCCATCTCTCAACGTCAGGAGACTGCGAGAAGCCAAAAGGCTTTTGGCTCAAAACTGCATGCAAGCACGATTTCGGGCAAACCTCTGAAATTCTGGCACTTCTGTACACAGCCTCCTGAAAGCATACCCTGCCACGAGATAGCGGATTGTGTCACTCCGCATGGCGCCGGCCATCCTTGTGTGACGGCGTGCTCAGACAAACTCTGTTGGAATTGGCTGTGCACACCACTTAATACAAGTCGAAAGCTATCTGCAGACGGAGCTCTGTTCCCCTTGGACAGTCTCGTCTCAAATGGCAATATGCAAACACCACTGATGATCACTGATGACAAGATGCAAACACTTCAAACATAGTGAACCCTGCCTGATCTAAGAAACTCTCGGGGTACACGGATGCATCACGCTCACACGTTGCTGGCTTTGGGACATGGAACTGTACCCGAACACGGGCTTTCAACGGTCCAAGACTAAGACTACTCTGACCTGTCAGTTGGCAGTAAACGTCCCACAATGTCTCCCACATTGGGACACATTGCGCAAGCCATGCCAACGAATTCAGAACTAGCCAAGCCACAGAGGACGACGGGATCTTTAAGATGACTGCTGCCCAAGACTAATGGCTCTGCAAGGACTTCCGGTAGTTTGTGTGTAATCAATCTGCACATGGCCATCGTGCTTCGATGCAATGATTGTTGCACTGGAATGGCGAACCTGTTCAACGGCACTAAAAGTTGATGCAAACTTTGACCCTACTCACCGGATGCGTCATTGTCGTTCTGTCTCGACGATAGCATGACTCCATTATTACGCAGCTGCCCAGACATGGGAAGATCTAGACATTCATGTCAAGGATTATGTAAACTTGGCAACTCGTCCATTTGACAAGTGCTCAGCCAGGCATAGCTCACAGTGAAAAAAAAAAACACGCTGCTCTTCCAGTGATCCCTCTAATGCCAACGTCGCTTGATCATTCCAAAAAATCTGCAGTTGAGAGCGCTTCAACTGAATTATTGAGGATTTGTCCCCAAGATCATATAGCCCACCTGAGCCCCTTGCGCCCGGATGCAACGAGCGGAAGTGCTAGAGTTACCAAATTGAGTCTATGTAAGCCCGAAGAAATCGACATGCACATCCCCGCAGTTTTCGACAAGCAATGCCTCCTAGATGGCCACCTTTGCTCTTAGCTTCCCTGAGATTTTGTCTTCGTTAACTTCCACACCAACGCCCAGGCGCGGGACAAGGTTTGCACATGGTCTGTAGCCTGTAGCCAGACTTAAGGTGGATAGATGAAATCTTGCACCACCTGACTCAGATCTCACAACACTTTTTGCTAAAAGACGGGGTGCTGTACGATAGCCCAAGATTTCCTCCATCCAAGGCATTTGTGGTAGGCCAATTGCGAGGTCTTGCTGACAGCCATCAACAATAGCTGAATCGGCAATGTGCTCAAGGTGGTCACAGCGCATTACTTCCTACCTCAGCTACATGCTCATGTTAACTCGTTGCCAATGCCAGACAACTCGGCGAGCGATGCAGAGAAATTTAATTCTGTGCTGTCGGCACCAGCTAGGATGCGTCGAAAACACGAACCCAAACACATCAAAAATGCTTGACAAATCCATGTCGAATCAATAGCCCTGCAGACCGAGATACTGCGATGCTTGAGATCGTCTCAAGACGACCGGAGCAGAAGCTTGGAGATCTCTTGGCTGTCCTGTAGCAAGTCCCACTGCTCCGTAAAGTTTTCATATTTTCCTAACCATAATTCCATAATGATGGTCTGCTGCAAGGCTGAGTTCATCCCTAAGGATCGAATCTGTGAATGCTTCCACAAATTCAGAAGCTCTTCTTCCCACATCCAGGCCACATTTCCGCAATCTTCGTGGCCCCACGTAACCTGCAGTGAACAGACTCGCTCTGGCCACTTCTGCAGCAAGCGATGGAAGAAATGTGCAAGGCTGAGCCCTTTCTGGCCATCAGCAACTGCCTGCCAAGCCACCAGCACGTCGAAGGCAGTCAGGGCTGCAAATGCACCGGCAGAGGGCACCACCTGCAACGTGACAGGGATTGTAATATACAGAAATCAATGTGCTTCCGGGGACGCATTGCTGCTTAAGATGTTTGGTGCTTGATCATAGAAATTGATCGCAGAATTAGTGATTGTTTCGGTCTGCACCCTGTGCCTCAAATTCACGCACCTTGCTAAATCATGCCAGCTTATGCCTCTTGCCGTATTTGCGACACTGCCATGTTTTGATGCCAGGCCTGCTGCACCATAACCAGCTTTTCCTGCTTCACAGCAATTAACAGCTTGGGTGTGGCTATGGCTGATATGCAGCATCTATTGCTGTGTCAAAATCGCCTGGACGCGTGAGCAGTCTCCACCAAATTCTCGGTGTCCCCAGGTGACAACACTTCCATCAACCTGCTGCGAGAGCTGCGACACATGCCAAACGGAGGTGCTCTTCTGGATCACGTGCAGCCTGCTACATTGTGGTTCTACTAGCAGGTCCCAGAATCTAAAACTGGATTCGTCTGACCTTGATGGCAGCGAAGGCACTTTCCGTGGCCGCCACCTTCAACAACGTGAATGCAACTGCTGCAACCATGCAGTAAACTCCTACATGATCAGCTGGGCCATGAGTCTCATTCGATTGCAAGGAGTAAAAACCTTCCAAACATGTCCATGCTGCGCACCCCCGTCAGATTGAGAGACACTGTTCCAAGGTTACCCTCCACAACATTGCAACAAGTTGGAAAAAGCAACGGCAAGTTACAAAAGACTCTGGCACATTCAGCAAACCAGCAGGCCACGGATTGACGAGGAACCTCAATGACGTCGACCAATTTGCTTTGAACAGAACTGCTGTTGCCTCCATAGTCCTTGGCAGTGACCAACAATGCACATCATACAGGCTGAACGAAAATATGAGGATGCAGAATTAATTCAGTTGTGTTTTTTGGATTTGATTTTTGGGGATCCTGGGAATTCTGCAGACCAAAATGTGAGGATGTTCCACATGAGAGATCAATTTTCAGTCGAATTCTGGGGACACTCTGCGCAGGAGCTCGATTTTGCGTCAACACGTCAGCAATTTCCAGCTCAATATAGAACCAAGTATTGTGGACACTCTGCGTGGTAGCTCAATTTTGTCCACTAAGACGAGAAACTCCACACGAGAGCTCAATCTGTTAGAATTCCAAGTGAGAGCTCAACAAGAAATAGCAGTAATAGGAATAAAAATACGAGCAATTAATGCTGGTTGCAAAAATAAGGCCAGCAAGCATAGCAGTTGTGAAAGGAGAAGCGTACTATTAATTATGTCGTTTACAGATAATCGTAAGCAACAAACAAGTAATGATGGCATTAATCGTATTTTTAATCAAAACAGTGATAGTCAAAACAGTGATAGGAGTAGCAGTTGTACTTGAAGCCACAAGTAGTTTTAGCAAGAAAAAATCTTCAGTAAAAACCATGAAATGATACTGCAAAACATATTGACATATTGACAGTAAAGAACATGATCATGAAAATACATTCATAAAGTAGTAGCAACAATCATGAAATCTATTTTTAGCAGCGGTTTTTGTTCAGAATAAGAAAGTGAGCTTTGTGGTAACTGCGTGTAAGCGAAGCAATGCAAGAAACAAAATCCTACGTACAACCGACGGAAGGTTGCCCCTCGTTTCCAGCACCGCCGCGATGCGTCGTGGTTCAAACAAATTACGGACAAGATACTTATGTCCTCATGCAGTACGTTACGACTGCTTTGCACGTCCGTACGACTGCTGCTAAGGTGCAAATTGGCTACTCGTTACACATCAGCGAGGATTGCATCAACTCTATTGCAAAGGACGGGATCCACGCTGGGGGTAACAAAAGAAATGCGGCACTTTCTGATTGTGAACGATTCTATATGCAAGTGTGGACAATAGGTTGGTGAATGCGGGTTAGGATGGTGCAATAGTTTGCCCCCCCCCCGAACCTAGACTGACGCACACAAGCAAAGTGATAAAAATAATTTCGGGCGCTCAGCGCAGGGCAGAATCAAACAGCGCGCATCAATCAAACAACACAACCAACAGAACAGAGATTCGGCCACAGGTTTCCCCGGGCAATCGAAATGTATCGTTGTGCCAGATGATCTAGTCACGTTAAACACCGGGAATTTCTCCGGCATGACGCGACTTTTGCTGAAATCAAATAACTGTCACTTAGCGCTTGCCTTTGGACTTGCCCTTGTCCTTGCCTTTGCCTTTGCCCTCCTGGTTCTGACGATTGGACTCGGCCAGCTCCTTCTGGTCATTGTATGCTCCCATCATCACGCTGTAGTTGGAGCGGTACCAATGGTTCAGGCGGGAGCCGCCAGTGCCCTTGAAACGTGAGGAGCAGGGAAGTGAGCTTGGGTTGGTACAACAACTCGGCACAGTTCTTGAAGTTGAAGACGGTGCCTCATCAACCGATGCACACAGGAGGGTCCGCTGGATCCGAAATGAGATTAGCCGCTCTAGGGCGAGACACCGTAGAAGAAAACGGAAGACGGTCCTGGCGGGCGGGATAATCGGCCTCCTCACTCGTTCGCGTCTGCGAGGCGCCAAGATTCAGCGTCCTTTGCACGGAGCTTCTCTGTGTCACAAGGATCACCGCGTGCGCGAGGCAGTCCCAAATTCCACAGTTCCATGGAGTCTGTCCATGGGTCAACATGTTCGCGGCGAAGACCGGATCATGGACATGCGCTCCTCGATGCTGAGACGCCCCCTCTCCGACGCCCTTTCAAGGCGATTGCGGGCCCTCTCGAGCATTGCTGCCTCCGGACTCGTGGGGAGCCTGCCTGCGACGTCCTTGGATGCGCGAATATCGTTCGCTTTGAGGTCCACGAACCTGGTGTTGGTGTTGTAGCAGATCGCGAAGGATGTTTTTCCTGGAGACAGCTAAGAAGCGCACCTGCTTGAGGTGACATTCGTAGTGTTCTTAAGTCTGCAATTGCACCCGTCTTGCAGTTGTCGCAGTGCTAAGTCTTGAACTGCATGCCCTCTAAGTTGACCAAAGTCAGCGGCCCGGGGACTCCCCCGGCACTTGTGGCAGCCTTCGGCTTTTTCTCGGGCAGCTGCGGGCGCAGCAGGTGGCCCTGGCAATGCCGCCGGGATGACGGGCCTTGGTGGCGGAGTGGCTGGCACTGGCTTGGGCGGCGCTGCAGCTTTTGGAAAGCTTGGCGGCACCCATCTTCTTTGGGCCCCTCGTCCAGCTTTCGGGATCTTGGGTGTAGGCTTCGCAGTTGTCGGCAATGTTGACGAGGACGCCGTGGACGATGATGATGATGGAGGCGGCGGGAGGTGACTTAGGCCGCCGGGCTTTGATGGCGCAGTCGTCGTGTTTCCCGCTGCAACCGTGGAAGGCGATGTCCTGTCCACCTTGGCCAGAGGCTCACTCACTGATCGCTTCCGCGGCGTCGTCATCGTCCGTCTCCTCACGACTCAGGAGAGGCCACAACCATGTCTTTGCCCAGCACTCCATATCGTCTCATCCTTGGTGACGCCCCTTATCCCAAGCACGGACCTGGGGTGCGCCGGATTGACTGCTCGGAAAAACAACGCACAAAGTACATTGCAATTTCCGTGTCGACAATCAGCTCATATCTGGCGTTGGCACGAATTCCTGACTTGTAGTCTATATCCTCGACCGGCTTGTCGGAGAAGTAATTTCGCGGCTTGCCAAGTCGATCTCAGCTCAATGATGGACATGGCTGAGGCGCGCCCTGTTCTGTGGTAGAGGCGCTTCGGGCACTCGCCACGCGGGTTATATTCGGGTTTTATTAAGGTTGATTATAAGGTAATATTGGGATAATGGAGAAGAAAATGGTAACTATAGACATCATTATGGCGGTATCTCGAGCGGCCTGCCATTTCTGGCGGCAGTCTGGCCCAACTCTACATCCGGCAAAACCAGCCTCAGCCTTGGGTCAAAGAACGAGACAGCTGTTGCAGTTGCCAGCTCAGGGTTTCTGCTGACGGCGTCCTTGCTGTGGCCCTGGTTTGCTCCGACCCGGTAAGGCCAGACTGGCATCCCCAAGTACTGACTGTGGGCGTCACATGCGTGGCGCCTGTGCCCGGAACTCCTAGACGGGTCGTCCACCCGTGGACAGAAGTCTGTACACTGCGGATTATCGCAAGAACGCTTGCAAACTGGTCCTTGAAAGCGACGACGGCGCAAGTCAGGCGGAGGTGGGACAGTCGGGCTGGCCCAACGCATCTCGGCAGGCGCATGGTTCAGGGCCAAGGAAAACCGAGCCCGGAGCAGGCGGATTCTGCTCGGACGGGACAGCGGCTGCGCCGCCAGAAGCAGGCGGCGTCGCTGCACGCTTGGCCGCCGCGGCCTGCTGGAGATGAAGAGGCGCCGGGTCTGAACTGGATGACGCAGCAGCGGGCTGTGTTGCGGGTGGCACTGCTGCACGTTTAGCAGGTGCAGTGGAGCTGGATCAGAACTTGACGAGGCGGCCAGGCGGCCTGTAATGGAACGGTCGGAACTTGCGGCAGTCGGCGTCCCGGCGGACGCTCCAAAGACGGCTTGCCCAGCCGGATGTGTCGGACCACCGAATATGCCCCAGCTTTCCAGCGAGACATCAGACGATTCGTCGGACGGTTCCTGCGGAAGCTGGTCAGCTGCAGACGGCTCCGGATCGGAGGGCCAACTGAGCTCTGCTAAGTCCGCGTCATCATCCAAGTGGTTCGTGTCCAGATAGTGTTGGGCGGACGCAGCATCGACCTTGGCCAGGACGGCGACGAGGCGACGGCGGGCGGCCCGGGGCAGCTCCGCAAAGAAGTGATGAAGTTCCTCGTCGGAGGCGGACAGAAGCGCCTCCTCAAAACGAGCTGAAAACATGCCTGGCTAGGACTAGGTAGAAGAGCTAGAAGGCCAGAAGTAGCAGTACCTAGGCTTGAGAGTAAAGGCACGCGTGTAACCTGAACATGCAAACGTAGCGCGCGGACATGAACGCTGGCTGCAAGATAGTGCACGGGGCATTTTGCAAGCTGCGTTGCAGTCGGTACGACGGGCAGGCAGGAAAACCTATGGGGGGCTGAACCACATTTGGCTAAATTTCACACTAGAACACCCCAAAATTGATCAGGTGGCCATGGCTGCACAGGCACGGAGACTGCAGGCGGAAGAGTGCGACACACGGATTCCACACCGCGCTGGTTGGTGCTCGTGCCACAGACGGGGCGATAGAGCTGGTCAGCGCGCTGCGGATCCGGGATGCCAGACGGAACCGAGGCAGAAGTCGGACGAGCAGCACGCACCGTGTTGGAGCGGTGATTATAAATGTAAAGGTTCCGTGTTGGCGCAGCCAGGTCAGGGCGCGGCTCGGCGGACAGGTTATAGGCTCAGGCACTGACGCGGGAAAGCACGCGGATTCCTCATAAGCATGGATATCCGCCTCTTCTTCGGACTGTCTTGAATTCCCTGATGCTGAGGACAGGCTGTCCACTGGAGACACATCCGCATCAGCGATTGGGAGAGCGGAGGCGGCAGAGGCAGGACAGGCGACGGTGAAGGTGGAAAGGCTGGGGCAGGCCGCGCGGGTGTGTCACACGGGTCTGCAATGGTGGGTAGCGAAGCGGCAGGCAACTGGACAGGGAAGTCAGGCAGAGGGGCCGATGATCCTCCTGGCTGACGGGGAGGCGGAAAGGATGCCTGAGCTCCGGACATGGCTGCAAATGAGCAAGAAGCTAGGTACTGAATGCTTGAGCGCAAGGGGGTGCTGCAGACAGAAGCTGTGCGCTCGATGGGCAAGCCCAAATCAAAAAATGAGGCAAGACCGGCGAACGCAGCGCAGACAGTCCTCCGTGTTCTCCAAGAGTGGGACGGACGGAGGTGACACTGC